AAAACTGTGATGGATACAAAAAGTCCAGCGAATCGGCGCTTTATAACTTACGATGTTGCACAGAATTTTACTTCAAATTCGGAAGTATTACGAGCAAAATATTAAAAAAATACTCCTACCACTAATTTGTTTTTACAATGGACACTAACAATGTTTGCTTGAGACTAGGGTTGCAAACTTTTAATGGCGGGGTAGATTCAAACCTCTGCCAAAATGAGGCAGATGCCTTCACTTCAAAGGGGATTGCATCGAAAGCGAGATTTAGTTATGCTGAATAACGGTTAAGAGTTGAGGTTATTGGTACATACTAGCATATATATCAGCTTGAACTTTAGAATTAAACTTGAACACGAAAAAAAAAAAAGGACAGGAGAGGACACGCAGCTGACTTCCAGCGATGTTTTAGTGTAAACGTCTTCGTTGCGCGTTTGCTCCTTCATTTAGAGTCCTAAGTAGAGCATGATAAGCCTATTACAGAAATAAACCTATTCCACTAATGAAGATACCTACCGATATTTACACTTATACCAATTATAAAAAGCATTTACACAGAATTCCCTAATTTTTTTTTTTTTTTTTCATGTGATCCGTTACAAGCTCGTGCTCTTGTTTGGGGAGTGACATTTCATAGGTATTCTCTTTCTTTTTTATGAACGGTGTTTGACGGGGTGCTGACGCAATCATTCGCGTGCTCGTCGATAGCGAGCGCCTCTAGCATCTCACGTGCATGAGGATTTTTGTTACTGGCAAGAATGGTTGTGCTGTTAAAACCTATACTGCACTGACATGTCCTTTAATGAGCTGCCAGGTGTCCTGCCGCTGTTCCCTTAAGGGCTCATTCACACTGGAAGCGGATCCGCGTTCGCAAAGCGGTTGCGAACGCGGTTGTATAAGGATTCAGTACAATTGCACGCGCATTTGATGACATCAAATGAGCGTGCAATTGCACTGGATCTTCATACAACCGCGTTCGCAACCGCTTCGCGAACACGGATCCGCTTCCAGTGTGAATGGGGGGTAAGAGACGCTGCATGCTCGCTGGCTCTGTAATTGATACTTCGGCCCGTTTCGCCGACGTAGCATTTCCCGCAACAGGAGTGGTACGCCACTCCTGTTGTGCATGGGACATACTGCGTTCTATGGGCCGTGTCGCATGATTTCTGCTTTGCTCTTCGGTTAACTTGACTGCACATGGAGTAGGCTTTGTTGGGCGCGGAGCATACTACTTGAAAGTCATTTCCTGTGCTTCAATGTTGCGTCGGAAACAGATTGGATACAGCTCACTACGCAACGTTGCGGTTTTGAGTCTGTACTCCACTGAAACCATGTTTCATGAGAAACATGTCGCGCCCTGCAGATGCTCAACATTTAAATTTTGCCGCCTAGCAAACGTTGTACCTTCAGCCTTTTTCCGACTATTATTAGGCACTTTCCCAGGCAGTATCGAATTCGAAACAGTAGCCTAAAGTGCCGCTTTGAGGTGACGATCAATGTCCCGTCAGGAGCAAATTAGGAACAGTTTACTACAAAAAGTCGCGATTTTTACGTCTCTTCTACAGCGACGCCGCATCGCTGTAGAACAACTTCGCTGTAGAACAACTTCGCTGTAGAAAAACAAGCGATGCCGCATCGCTGTTGAGCAACTACAGCGCCGAACATATGTTCGTCGCTGTAGTTGCTCAACATTTAGATTATGCCACCTATAAAACGTTGTACATTGAGTCTTATCCTGACTTTTAATACACAGCTCCCCAGGCAGCATGGGGTTCGAAACAGTAGCGTAACATTGCGTGTTTGTCGTGTCAATCACTGTTGTAAGAGAAATATATTGGAGACCGTTGCGCAAAATATTCCAATTCTCCCCTAACATTAGAAACAATCTCGCAACATATCTACAACACATAGATGTTACCTTGGCATTTTCATTGACTTCTCCAAAACATTCGACAAAGTTCCTCACCAAAGTCTTTCAACAAATCTTAGCGATATTAATATTCATAGTTGAACGTGAGCGCGTTGGTTTTGTTAACTTGTTAGAGAAAGAATAAACAAAAAGAACGGAAAAGGACGGACATGTCTTTCGACTTTCTACAACATGTAGCGTTTTTATTAGATGTTGGTGTCGAGATCGGTGGACCTTGTGGGAAAGGGAGAAAGAAAACGAAAAGTGAAAGGAGGGAGGAAGAGGAGGGAGGGAAAAGATACAATGAGGGAAAGGTGGAAAGGGGAAGGAAAGAAAAAGTGAAACAAGGGAGGGAGAGGAGGGGAGAAGGTCGGGGCTGCAGGAGAGCGAGCTGAAGGGGGGGGGGGGGGTGGGAGTCGGCATGAGAAACTCAGGAAGTTGTTAGTCCTTACCGGGCTAACTTCCCGAGTTTCTCATGCCGACCCCCCACCCCCCTTTTCGTCGTACTATGCTAACTCGCTCTCCTGCAGCCCCGACCTTCTCCCCTCCTCTCCCTCCCTTGTTTCCCTTTTCACAGCTTCCTGAGTTTCTCATGCCGCCCTCCCCCCATCTTGTCGTACTAGGCTAACTCGCTCTCCAGCAGCCCCAACCTTCTCCCCTCCTCTCCCTCCCTTGTTCCACTTTTCCTTTCCCTCCCCTTTCCCCCTTTTCCTCCTTTCCTCTTTTCCCTCCCTCCTCTCCCTCCCTTATTTCACTTTTCCTTTTCTTTCCCCCTTCCCTCATGATCCACCGATCTCGACGCCAACATCTAATAAAAACGCCACATGTTGTTGAAAGTCGAAAGATGTCCGTCCTTGTCCGTCCTTTTTGTTTATTCTTTCTGTAACAAGTAATTAATATTTACTCCTGTGTTGTTATGTGGATTTCTGAATTCCTGATTAACCGCAAACAATATTCCTCCGTTAACAACGTGAAATTTCCCACCTCCACTGAGGCTCTACTGTAACGTCAAGTGTCCCCCAGGGAACCGTACCAGGCCCCCCTATGTTCCTAATGTGTATTAATGATCTCCAGCTTAATATAGCTTCTTCTTTGCGCCTGTTCACCGAGGATTGTGTCATTTACCCAACCATTCTTTCATACCATGATCATCATGCTCTGCCGGAAGTCCTTGACTTCGTAATTCATTGGTGTGAAAAACGGCAGATGACGTTAAAGTTTAATAAATGTGGATCCCTATTATTTTCCCGCAGTTTGCGTGCCACACCATTTTCGTATTACCTCAGTAACACTCAAGTAATAGCATGCTCATCTTATAAATACTTGGGTCTTCATCTCACCTCTGACCTATCCATAGGCTACTCACATAACTTCTGCTATTTCTGACACTAACCGTTCTCTCAGATATTTGCACCGTAATGTCAAATTTGCTACACCCTCCGTGAAACGACCTAGCGTGTACTACATTTATAAAATCGAAGTTAGAATCCGACTCATCTATATGGTCTCCATGGCACTCTTACCTCGCAAATAATCTAGAATTCGTCCAAAACAGAGCCCTTCGTTTTATTCATAACAACTACTTACCATATACCAGCATATCAGGATTACGCCAATCAGCTAACCTTCATTCACTTTCCCTTCACCGCCGAGTATCACACCTTCTTCTCCTTCATCGATTTTTTAACACAATAGCCACCTCAAAGAGTTACGGCTATCACCTCCCCGTCGTGTTTTCTCTCGTCTATATCGCCTACGTAAATTACGACCATTTCGTTCATCAACCGTTTCTCACCAGACTTCCCCACTACAATGGCCATCGAGGATTGGAATTTACTTCATCACAACATCGTTCCTATTAACGGTACTACAACATTTGTTGAAGACGTTACCCTCTGTTTATCTAACCTACCTAGCTATCTTACAGTGTTATAATCGTGTCTACTCTTCTATCTTTTCTTTGTTCTATTGCCACCACCTTGTATAATGCCCCACGGGCCCTCAAAGAAAATAAATGATGATGATGATGACGCGTGTCCTTCGTTAACCACGATTTCTTTTACCCAGTACTGTCTCTATACTTATTATTTTACTGGCATATAGAATAATGTTATGGTAAAAGGTTTTCACAGTTTTTTTTTTTTGTTTTTTTTTCTTTTTTCGCTGAGTCTATGGTTTAAGTTGAGTTTCGCCAAATCAAGAAACGTTCCTCGCTTTTCTGAGGAAGCCATTATATGAAGAGAAAAAACAGTTGATGCTTCGATGAGAGTACCTAAAATACAGCAATCACCTGAATAGAATATTTAACACTCGCAGTGCCTGTCGTGTTTTTCTTTTCTTCGTTCGCTCTTTTATATCTGTTTATCATCATGTACAACGTTCAGCCACTGGCCCTATTCGCTACTTTAGTTTGGTTTGATGATCGTTTAACATCTTGAAAACAGGTTGTTTTGGGATATTGTAAACTTTGTGCTCTGCATGGCATTTGTAAAATGGTAATTTCTTAGGAAGCTTGAAGTGACAGGTAAAAAAAGTGAAAGCCGTTTACAACTCCCCGTAACGCCGAATCGGAGCGCAGCTCTTGAGGAGGAGGAGCGAAGGGTACTAAGGCGAGGGTAGACCCTCCCTTTTCTCCTCCTTCTCCTCCTCCTCCCCCCATTCTTGGATATGCTCCGTGGGGTCACCTGACCTTGGGGGAGAGGGTCATGTGACTTCCGGGGGGTGGTGTCACGTGACTTCGGGGGGGAGGGGGTCGCGTGACCTCGGGGAGGGGGTCACGTGACCTTGGGGTGACCTTGGTGTGTCACGTGACCTTGGGTGACCTTGAGGGGTCACGTGACCTCGCGGTAATGGCGACGGCAACGCCGACGCCACTCAGGCCGGAAACGGGCGCCCAAGAGCTGCACTCTAAAAATACTTGTCTTGACCATTTTTATAAATCTGTATAGCATCGATAGTTCGTGCTTTATGTCAGTGTCATGATCTGTTGTGCTTAGAGGTAAACACACGTGTTTATTACAATCAAAACACAGAAGCACCTTCGTCGCGCGTTTCGCATTAGTTTAGGTATCGCTTAAAATGCTGACAGGCTCCACTATTATTTCCACATTTCCTTTTCATGAGGGACCTTCGTCTTGAGTTCTTGTCTCCGAACCTTTCCGTTATCAAACTTGGGAAGGTATTTCAGAAAAACAACTCCTCCGTACAGATGCTTGAAGACTGCTGCTTGTCCTGCAAACAAGAAGCCGAGGTTAAACAAGTACGAAGAAAATGCAAATCAATCTCCCACAGGCTTCACAATGTGCATCTGATTATTTATTATGCAGGTAAAATACCTTAAAGTGTATAGATTCATATTCTTGAAGCTTTGTGGCTTTGAGAAAAGGCATGAAAGAAAGGGAAACAATTTAACCTGGCGTGCCTCGAACATTTCAGGAAGCAAGTTGATGGTAGCCATTGAGAGGTTGAGGAAGCCAGGGAATCTCTTTAGCATGCCCGTCCCCTAGTACGCCTTCATTTCTTTTAGTCTTGCTTTGGCTTCGCATGCACACTCGAGGTTCGTGAGACGCTGAGACGTTATCAAGGCTAGAAAGCTCGCACTGGACGAGAGAAAACTAAAGGACATCCGTGCTGTTCTAATTCTGTCAGTGACTAAATGTTAATTTTCATTTTCACTCTCAAATCAAAGTTAGTTCAAGTTACCCAAGTGCCACAGAACAAAAGTTAACATCGTCAAGGTTATGCATAGAAACTTTGCATTCGTCACAATATTTCTCATGCAAGCCTTGTAAACATCGAATTATTTTTAAAAAGTTGCCTCTAAACAAACATTTGCTCTGATGTATGCAACACGCCTTATTTTATGGACCATAAGCAGGGAACTATGCATCTTACCTGGTCACGGAAGGTATTAAGATTATGTTTTTATAAACGGATTAACACTAAAAGAAAATCGTATCAACGGAAAATATGTCCTGGATATAATTCCCCGCATTGTGTACGAGTGTTATTTTCCTGCGTGTTAAGTACAATGCGTTTGTTCTTGTATTTGTAGTTTTTAGCGTGACATTGTTTACATCGAGAAAAGGACTCGTGCTTCACTTTACATTTCACGAAATAAAGTGGCTCATAAGCGGTGTTTTTTATCAAACATATTTCGTACATTAGACTTGCCACTTACACTTCTAAATGCGAAAGGTAGGACACGTTAACAAAACATCATTGGACGAAATGTGAATATTGTCAAGATGACATATACCTGCTATGAGCTCCTTCAATTCTGTCGCCAGGCTCTCGAGGTTTCCCTTGAAGCAATCTTTAAGAACGACACAAGCTGTTGGAGCCTCGCCATACTTTGAATTCGGAATACCCACAACTGTGGCCTCTGCGACAGACTTATGGGTCAATAAAATATCTTCCAGCTCAGCAGGGGCAACCACATTGTCCATGCATTTTATCATTTCTTTCATTCTCTCGATGACATGAATCCGTCCTTCAGTGTCGTAGTAGCCGAAATCACCTTAAAAATCAAAATATCATCTTCACGAGTTGTGATGGCCATACGTTTTTGTTTTAAGGCCAAACTTTGGGGTGATTCGATCTCATCACGGTGCGTACCAAATTCTAACGCAGGCCAGAAGTGTCAACGAAGAGATGCCTTGCAGTTCGGAAATTAGCCCTCGTCCAGCCTCCACGGCCCTGCAGAACGTATGCAAGCAGTACCTCCGCGTAGTGGTTTATGATTGTTTTTTTTGTGGCATTAACAAGTTTCTTGCAATCCGCTTTGAAGATAATCTTAGTTTTGTACTAAACTTATTGTACAGCGCGTCCCCGAAAAAAAAAATTTAGAGCGTAATTTTTTACTGCAGAGTAGACTACTCATCGCCGGGCTCTCAATCTGCGCTACGGTTCGGACCAGGCGCAAAATGTTGAAAAATAACCACTATACATTTCAAATGTTTGTCTTTTTTTTAACTTTCCACGGGAAATAGGGTTCATTCCCGGTAGCTGGCGCCATTCGCTTTAATATAATCGACGGCTTCCTCGTACAGAATTTTTCCATTGAAAATTAAAAAAAAAAGAAGGATGTTTACAATTCTCTGTAATGTCGAATTATTGAGGAGGGGGAGGGGAAGGTATGCCCCTCCTCGTTCCCCTCCTCCTCTTCTAGATCTGCTCCCCTTTCATTTAGCGGGAAATGTTTGCAAAATTTCCTGCTAAATTTAGTGGGGAAATTTTTCCGTTAATTTTAACGGGGAAATGTTCCCATAATGCAACGCGCGGTTACATCCGCTTGCATTATTCCCCTAATGCATCGCACGGTGTTACACCGGCGGCGACGCCGCTCAAGCCGGAAAAGGGCTGCGCCTAAGAGCTGCGTTCCTAAAAGGCTTACAACTTTTCAATTACATAACGGCAGGCCCTAAAACTTTGACATCTGGTCTGTTCACTACCGTCATTTGGAGGGAGACTGAGCGTTCAGGGGTGCCTATTGTATTTTTACTGCAAGGGAAGGCACAGTACATTTTCTGGGGGAACACGCACTTTTTTGTGTGTGTCAGCCTCAGCTAGTAATCTAAAGTTAACATGGTTATGAAAACAGGTGCGCAACAATAATGACTATTGGCGCTAAGCTATTGGCGAGTGTTTTTATTTATTGTTATTTTTGGTATGACGGAACCAAGACAGCCTAACTTCGGCAGAGATTAATGAGAGACAGAATTCAGTTGTCTGGATTCCAAACAGATTGTGGCATCTTGTGGTGACAAGAAACACATTTGTGATTGAAATGTGCAAGCTCGGGCGTGTGTTTAAAAGCATTCAGAGAAATTTGATGTATGCATTTTGAGATTCTCGCTTCAAACTTGTTGTCTGGTGTGTGCCGCGGTCGATGGCGTTCTCCCAAAGGAATCATTTCTTTATTTCGAGTTCTTTAAAACGATAATTATTTTGCCGTTTTTAAATGTTTTGTACATTCAAACATGGGGATAGTCTCCTGGCTACATTCATTTCTATATGCAAATTAGTAGACATTTGACACATCTAGGGTTATTAATTATTGTCGCAGCACCGCATCTGGGTATGTCTAAAATACGATTCAGAAAGTATGCGAGCAGGTGAATAATCATATTCGAGAAATAAAACCTTGAGACAAGGAAACAAACGGGGACATACACACCGCCGTCTCAAACCAGCGCAGCATACAGCTGTCATTTAATTCCACAACGGTCTTGTACTTTAAAAAACTCCATCCAAAGTATACACATTCAAGGACAGCAAAACTCACAGTACTAGAAAGCCTCGAGCACGCAAAAAATGACAGCTGTATGCTATGGTGGTTTAAGAGGCAGTGTGTATGTCCCTTTTTGTTTCCTTGTCTAAGGGTTTTGTGTCTTAATTATGAGGGTGTGTTTACCACTTTCACAACACACAATTCTTGACTAACATATACTCGACGAAGAAATTGTTGGCAGAGAAATATGATGAAGTGCGCAAAAGCATGCCGACTAGCTAGCTAGACGGGCACAATAAAACCGCTGGTGCTTGATATAGGATATTGAATTACTGGTACTGCTCATTAATAGCAGAACAAATGAGACGACTGCTGTACCTGTACGGTACCAGCCGCCAGAGTTCACAGCCTCAGCGGTAGCTTCAGGACGCCCATAGTAGCCTTTCATAATGGATGGTGTGTGAATTTCGATTTCACCATTTTGATATGGGCCGAGAGACTCTCCGCTGACTAGGTCTGTAACCTGGGAATCAATTCAAAACTACATTTACTCTTTATTTTTAAGACTTGAGATCTGCTTAGTAAAAGATACCGGGAAAAATGACGTTAATAAGACGATGACAAAGAATAGAGATACACAGGACAACCGCTGTTTTTCTCTCGAATTCGAACGAACCCTAACCAACTCGCCCAAATATCCAAACTTAACAAGTGACAGCTGGCACCACCGTCTTCGGAAATTGTTAAGTATCTGTGGCAATTTATGATAATAAATTGTCAGATTGTAATGTTTAGTCTTTCTACGAGTACTTACACCCTAAAAGTTGTCGGATAACGGTAAATTAATTCAAGGTTGCGCAATGCAGACGGACTTTTTAAGGCAAGAGGAAACAGGATATGTTAATAGACTACTTCCATGAAGCCGTGCATGCAACACGGCGCGCGTTGCCCTCTGGGAACTAGTTGGCCAGGGAGGAAAGTGGCATGGTTTTCGTTTCGATCGACACGTCGACAGGAGGCCACACACAGAACTTGGATTATTAACGGCCGTTATCTCATGCTTTCTGGTCTCGAGAGCGTCATAGGTGGTCTCTAAACTAAACTAAATGGCCAGACCTCGAAGCTTCAGCACAAACAATAAGTATGCATACATCGAGCTCGAGCCTTTACATTAGTATTGTTGATCAGTTTCTTTCGTGCGTCCATAGACGAAATATAACTTTTTGCGATCACTGTTTTTCTTAATACGCCTGAGTACGCGAGCTAAAACTCTGAGGCGGCATTGAAAAGCTCCATTTGAACACATGCACTTCTCATCTCTTATCTGTACTGCCCCGCAGACTGCACGAAGTAAAGTTTCCAACCGCTTGCATTCCACTTATATTCTACATCGCGCATGCGCGTAAAGTTATCCTGCCAACCACATAGGCACATTCGCACACACAAACCGTTTTAAGAAAGCAAAAGTCGAGCACTTGTGTGAAGAATGTTGCACCGTTCACCGGAAGGGCGCCGGACGGGCATGAACCCCTATGGGGTGCGCCAAACGAACGAAATTATTCAAAGCGCATTTGACGGTTGCTTATGGTTATAATATTTGTTATATGTTTGCTTTCTTCCTGACTGACTATGCCGGGATAATTTCAGACACACCGTTTAGGCACAGATATTGGGCGTCAGGAAAAGCTCGTTCAAAAAGGATTACCGAGGAGTAGGGGACGTTTGTTAGGGCCTCCGTCGTAGTAAGCCGATTGAGTGTTTGCGAAAACTTAATCTTCAATCAGCATAAAATTTGAGTGTGAGATATATGATCACACGAGGAACACATGATAGTAACTTTTGTGCAGTAGCGAGGTCGAATTTATTGCGTTTCTTTAAAAGTTCATGCGCCAATGCTGGGCTCAACTTTGATAATCCTGTGAAGATGCGGCTTGCTTTTTGCCCTATGAAGTAACAAGAAGCGGACGTTTGGCAAAGAAAATACGTGTAGGGCTCAAGGTGACCAAATTTCAGTTGTAGTTCACTAGTACTAGACGGGATTACTGACATTGAGCTCAAAGATGCACTCGTGGGGTAAGGTGACTAAGCCACGTCTTACTACGTTTGCAAACACACGCACAATATCCGGTGTTTCGGGAACCAAGGAAAGTGCCCCGGTCTTCATTTTGTATCGCTCGAGAATGAGTGTATTGTACATTCGTAAAAGTCAGATAATCGAAAACGTAATCAGCGCGTTCGGTCGCGGCGTGATAGCATGAGATAAACCAGCTAACTCGAAACCGAAACTCAGCGGCCAACTAGTTCCCAGAGTTCACTGCGTGGTATTTCGCCGCGATAGGGCGCGTCGGTTTTGGAAGAAGTCAATTAGGGAAGTTTCAGAAAGTAAGTACCTACTGGTGCATTAGTCCCAGGAGAGTATTTCTTTTCTAGTCATATATGCGCAGTTGTGTTCCTTGGTCTGCTAGTCACACCCCGTTGGTGGTTATTTTTAAGTGATTAATATTCTTCAGATTTGTTTTGCAATTATTTTATATAACTAAGCAGAACGACACGCCGACCTCGAACTCCGGTTTATGGTAAGTTTTCCTTTTGTGTGAAACAAATATTTTACAAGCCAGACCCCATATGATGCAATAGAAAAATTATAATTTGTATTACTGATTAGCATATAACAAAATGCGTTATGCAGAGACGAGAGCGAGAGCTTAAGAACGGCGACAGACAGGAATATAGCGCTCAAAATGTATTGCGAAGCGCTAAGGTTATATCTTGTCACGAAACGAAGAAATGTGACGGAATTGAATGAAAATTTATTGGGAACTCACGCTTTACAAATTCCTAATCTTCCTAAATATGCCCCTAAAATTTCGACACCCGTGTCTATTAAAATTAGAAACCAAGACTTTATTACCACAAACGGCTTTTACTACCCGAAGGAAAAACCCATCAATGTAACCCTGTTTAACAGTCAATGTTTTCTAGTGGACCGCTGACTGTGCCTGACTGTACGTTAAGCATGTCTGATTGGCCAACAAGTTACTCTGACCGACAGTCAAACTCCAGTCAGACTCCGCTTGTCGGCTTTCTGATGGTTTCCTGTTGGCAGTCGGCCGCCGCGAAATGCCATCAGGATGTCTTGGTGGCGATTCTGACTGTACATCGATTGTCTCTGACTGTACGTCAAAAAGCTTTGACGTGCAGACAGACGTACGGTCAGAGGACGTAAAGTTCGTTCGGATACCACTATTTCGTCAAATCTAGGAATATGAAAAGTAATCTATGCACGAGAAACCGATTTCGGGACGTGAGCCCATAAAACCGCTGACGTTAGAGATATGACACGCAACCGACCGACAACCTTGATCAGAAGCCCGCCGAAGCGCCGAACACAAGGGCCGAACACGACACTTCGCTGACTTCGCTTCGCCCATAGAGGCTTCGCCGAGCTTTCATGAACGATCGCTCTCGACTCGTTTTGTTTGCCCGCTTGCTCCAACCTGTCGATCCTGCCCGGGCTCTACAATGTCTTATGTTTTAGTAGAATTTCTACTCGACAAGACCCAGCCTGTTGTGAGTTCCGACGATGTAAGGGACTTTAGCGGTGTAGTTGAAGGCAAGGTGTACCAGGTCTACTCGGCCGGTGACGCGCGAACAAAAGGATCGTTCTACGACGCGAAAGTACTCTACAGGGCAGGTGAGTAGAACTGAAGTACGGCGAGTGATGTACGAGTGCTTTGCATAACATGCTGACGGCTTAACTGCATTTGCAGCCGAAGCATCACGTATAAAACGAATAGTCAAAGCGAGTTTCCGAAGCAGTGGCATAGCAGAGCGGTTAGGGTTCCCGATATGTACGCAAGTGGTCGCGAATTCGAGGCCCGGTAGTCCTGCTTTTTTTTTTTTTTTTCTCTCGAACATTTTGTTTTATCGAGGCATTTGGCCATATTTATGATTGCGTATAGCTTTGCTCTTATATAAATGCTGCCCTTGTTGATGAAATTCCCTTGGCAATGGCAGTCAGACGTCATCTGATGGACCATCAGATGACGTCTGATGGTTCATCACGTTCCACCAAGGCTACTGACTGACATTCAGTGTCCCAAATTACGTACCTTGATGAAATTTTCAATAGGGTATAGATGCTAGAGAATTTAGCACAAGTCTCAGGCGGTAGACTCTTTAAGGGTGGAGAAAACCTTTCGCCGCAATATGTAAAACGCCTTCACATGAGGTGTTATATGGAAAGCTATATTGAGCTATACAGAAATCATAGATAATCAAGTGTTTCTCAAACAATGCTGTGTGCCTTTTTTATGGGCATCTTTCTTGCTGGACGTACATTCAATCCTGACTTAAACCAACATACAAGGAAAGAAAGAAGACAGAATGGCTACACTCCGTGTCTATTCCCCGGAACGTATGTATGCATGTTCCTCTTTTTACGTGTCCATAAAAACATTTTCAATGACACTAGAGCTTTATCGAGGTGTTTGAAGCATGAAAGTGACGTACCATATAGATCCCACCGTTACTCGTCGTAGAGTCATCATCATATTAAACTACCGTTTTTTTGTTGTTGTTTTTTTTTGCGATACATACGTTTTACAGTTGTTTGGGTCACACCCCTTGTAAATAGAAGTTCTCATACATACTTTTTTTTTTGTACATAAGTCGCACGTTCGTAGAACTCTCGCTTATACGTATATTTACTATCGGCGCGTTAAAACTTCACTGATGAGCTTTCATATGGGCATTGATCACATCATATGCGCAAACGAAGGCTGGCCATTTTCAACATTCTCACAAGCCAATCGAAGTAGTATAATTTTGAGGCAAAGTTCAGAAGTCTGCACTTATAGAAACATCTTCATAAAAGTCGCTAAATAGAAAAAAAAGCGTCAACTCAACGTTTTTAGGAAAATACACACACAAAAAAACACGACGGTTGCATTAAAAACTACAGTAATAACATGGTCAATTAAACGCTTCTCCAGCATCAACGATATTTTTGAACTGTACCTTCAAGATAAGTTTTATTGTAATAATATTCTTCTTCCCATTTACGTATAGACCGACACGCGGAGCCGTTACGCCTCAAACAAGGCCTGCTTGGCATTCAACATGAAGTTGCTACCACCGAAGTCGACGACTCACATCGTCGTTTATTTTTTTTTTTTTTTTCGCGAAGCCAGTTTACGGCCGATATGGTGTAGGCATACAGGTTCCTCCAAGCCTACGATTACTTCGAGTCGGCTTCCGCACTGCCGGCGGGATCAGCAGACTGGGGGTCTGCCGAAGTGTATTTATTAATTGATTAAATACACCCATTGTTTTCAAGTCAAGGTATGATATTTTTCCTGCCCTCATAACCACAAGTCATGACAAGCGGTAACGCTTTGTCCGTTGTGCAGTCTAGGCGGTAACACGTTAGAAGTAACGGCGTTAGGAGAAGCCCGTTACTTTTTCAGTAACGTAGTAACCTACCCATTACTTTTTCGACACAGTAACAGGTAACGTACTTACGTTACTATTTCAAGTACGTTACTCGTTACTACTTCCCAAGTCTCAAAGAAATTACACCAATTTCTTCCGTGTTTTTAGGCGTCAAGCCATGTGAATTGCTGATTTTTCTGCGTTTTTCTTTGCGTTTTTTCTCGTGAGTATCTGGGTGAAGCCGTAAAAAGAGATAAAGTAATTACGTTCAGTTTCTGCATCAACACAATGTTCCTTGATATATGAGCTTATGTTGTATCCTGTATCGTCAAAACAGTAAAAAACGTGTTAAATTATAATTTTAAAAGTGACGCAGAAGTATTACTTTTTATCGGTAGCGGTAACGCGTTCCTTTCATTTTTAGGTAACGTAGCTCGGTACCGCGGACCTTTTGTTTGCAAGTAACGAGGAAAGTGTTCCATTACTTTTTTTCGGTAACGCCTACAACACTGCCGTCCTCTCGCCGATCCCCTCCTGCTTGTTAGCACGGGCGCAGCGAGCCTCTGACGAGCGCTTGGCCGGTGCTTTGTGCACGAACACCGTGCAAACAAAATCCGGGTGGTCTCGATCGGACGACCGTTTCCCTGCATACAAGCAAGCCTCGGTACGGAGATTGAAATGAAAGCCGCCCTTGTCTTCAACAAAGTGCGTGCCGCACAAACAATCGTTCGCGCGAGGCGACCTTTTTTTTTTTCGATCAACGGATATTATTTACATTATGCGCCTTTCAGATTCTACCGGGAACTTGTGGAAACTCACTCTGCTACTTTTGTTTGTACTTTTCGGTGAAAAGAACGGCAATGTAGCTTCGCGGAATGCTGAAATGCTATGACGCCCATGCGAAACGTGCGCTTTTGTGCCCATAACACCCGGCTCCCGCGCGATCGCAGCGCCGCCGCAGCTCCTGGACGTCAACCCCGCGTGTCAGTCTATACATATTGCGGGAAATGTCTTAATCTTTTGGGAAGATTGGTGTTACAATTTTGCAATGAACGTCTGGAAGATTCTAAAAACATTACGGTACCGACTTTGCAGATTATAAAAGAAATAAACCTATCATTTGTGCTACATCTAAATAAACTGTTTGTTCCTATATCACACTAAATAAGCATGTGAACAATAAGTGAGTAGTTAATTTTTTAGGTGTTACCAAATGAAGGAAGCATGTACCAGTTGAGGCATTTCAGACATACCTTGAATTTGCTCCCGGCCAGAGGTACACCACTATGGTCAAAGGTAATTTGACCAACAGGTGAGCAACATACAATACCAAACGTTTCGGTCATGCCGTAGACATTTATGAGTGATTCCACGTTGAATATTTCACGAATTTCCGTTGCAAACAATTTCGTTACTACCGATCCGCCCGCCATTATTCGTTTTACACCAGGTATAATATCGTTGTTTTTTCTAGCATTATGAAAAATATCCCCCATCCGGCCAGCTAAGCCAATAAATATAGATACCTGTAAAGGGAAAAAAACAACATATCATAGAGTGCTTTTTCGTTTCCAAGCACAATAAGGTAATTATTTGTATTATTGTCACGCCGAAACATAGGCACTTTGATTGAAAAATATACAAATGTTGAATAGCCAAAATGTATGTAAGCATCCAGACAGAGGCTTCATGTCGGGAAACATTTCTAACATTGTCATTCAAAATAATGCGTTATTTTTGTTACACATAATTGTTGTGAGCGAGAATTTTTATTTCAGACTTATCGAAGGCTAGTCCTAGATTTAGTTTTGTACTTGACCTCTTATTTGGCTTAGTCTTTTTAACAACGTTAAAACGCTGAAAGCTCGAGAATATATAGTGTCAAATCAATGTCGAGGTTATCAGAATTATAGTAATCATATACATTCCTGGTGAAAATGTTGCCAGTATTTCTGAAATAGTCTGGAATACGGAGTGAAACATTCTGCCTTATATTAAATTTGGCCTGAAATTTTTAAAACCAGAAGCAAACAATTAGAGGATTTCATTAAACAAGTAGGAGTTTCTGCAGCAGCTCTGACTTTGAATTAAAGTACTGAAACTGATTAGTTTATTTACTGACACCACTTACAACCAATTATTATTCGCCATCAAAACGCCGCTGAAAAAACAGCCTTGAATTTGAACGTAAGAGGGATAAAGGTCTCTTTCTTCTTGACTATGCTGTTGCTGCGAAACCAACCCAGCATGTTTGGAACTTATAGAAGCAAGTTACAATCGCAACGCCAAAAACCACCAAGAGGGGATTTGAAGGGAAAAAAGCTATTGCTATACACATTATTTGCCCGCAATTTGGATAGAGAATTGTACTGTATGCTAGCTTGATATATAGATTTTTCGTAAGGCCTATCACGAATAACTTTCGCAGTGTGATGAAGACTAAATACATATCTTATATAAAGATTAAGAAAAAGTTCTTATTTATGAAAACCTTCTTATAAGCGTCCGTTTTTGGCACCAAACAGTTCATTTCGACCGCAATAATGTTCGTATGAGGAGCGTTTTATTTTATGACAACGAGAAAAAGTACACATTACCGCCAACCTAGTTTTCTAAATTTAGTGCCATGAAAAATGCCACTGCAATACGCAGTTTTAGCTTGGTGCCTTGAGCCAAGAAAAGAAATAAAACATTTTTGTTATTAAAAAGAAAACATTCCAGGATGACATTTAAGACTGCTTACGTGCATGAATCCGAAAGCATTCCTAAACGCAGCGTATTTCTACAAGCAGCACGCCCTGTCTTCCTATCGCACACTTCGCTCCGGCGGTGATATCGCGTTCCCCTACTGCGCAGGCGCGGCGAACCCCGCCATCTCTACGGCTTCCGTGACGATGCATCTGCGTTGCTGTGCTTTTGCCCAATGGGAATTTAACTGCCGCTTCGCTGCTACAGACGGTTAGAAACAACGCCGGCTTCGCTCCATGAGATAGTTAGTGCTCTCGCAATAAAAATATTTTGTTCAGGAATGTAAAATAAGAATCAATCACTATCTGCATCTCTTTAATAAATGTAGAGTACTCGGCTTGGTAAGGATAAACTATTCTGCGATATGATCGGGATTTCTAGTTTCATCTGAATATTCTCACCTTAAAGGTTTTGAGAGTTTTCAAAAAATTTTCGTACGAAATTAAGGGATCGGTGATGACAGTCTTTGCACCTATGAGCATAGAAAACATGGCTACCGCGAAACCCGACACATGGGTGAAGGGATTCCAGGCCAAGTAAACATCGTCTTCAGTGCAAATTCCAGTAGACCTGAAACCCAGAATAGATACGTATAAATACAGGAAGTTTTAAAGACGAAAGAACGCACTAGATATCCCCTTGTCAATAGAATTTAATATTTAACTCTGTATAAAGTAACATATCATGTGCTTGGCTTTTAATATGAGTTGCTCAAGAAGTGCGACATAATGAGAGAAACAAAGATATAAACAAGGGATGCACAAAGATTCGGGTTCCTACTTTTATTTTACTTCTACAAATTTTTAGTGGTAATTTTTTTAAAAATAAATTTGAACCATGTGGGCCCGAAAAGTATTATTTCCTGCACTATTTTTAGGATACAGTTCCTGGTTTACATTGAGTTTTAATTTTATAAAGCAAGATGAAGCTTGCTTTCTGATATATTTTTATTCGGCAGGTTATTGCTTTTATTACTCCAGTAACCACTTTCACAAAAGAAGTTGCAGTTCTTTCATGTCGACATTGGTGATTATTTAATATAAAGTCTGCTTATGCAAAGCTCATTACGTGCACTCCTTCCTTTTTTATTAACTTGACAAATTACATACTGAGCATAATTTACATCCGTGCCTGTACACAAGAATAAAATAAATGCTTACTAGCGGCCTTACAGAACTTAACTCTTTTGTTTTCAAAACAGATATATATTTTCCCTTCCATCATCAGGTACCTGTATGCGTAGAACGAAGCACAATACGCTTTGTGCGATATTTCTACACCCTTCGGGAGACCCGTTGACCCTGACGTGTACAGAATGACCACAACTTCTTTCTCGGTCTCTGTGGGCACGTGGGGTTTGAAGGACGCATCAGGAAGATCTTGGAAAAGGAGAATGTCGATGAAACCAGGCGCACCTCCTACGGCGAAAAATCCCTGCGAAGTGAAATAGAAGGATATGATAGAATGCTGTGCTCGTTGCATGGTAAAACAAACCGGCGGACTTGAATTTTTAAATGCAATATATATGGAATCCCGAGGGTGATAGGAATTGTTTCTTTTGAATAAGAAAGGAATTATACTTCAAAATTAATGTGCTGTATATATCGGTGAGCCCCCATTCTGAGACTTTTATTTTCAAACCCGGTAGGGCCACGTAGAATGATGCAATTGCAAAGAAAGACTGGATCGGCCCTTTTGCTACTCAGAGTTAGCAAGTCCGATTCACTCTCTCGTAAAAAATAACTTGTATTCAAAGTAATTCGATCACAAACACTTCTAAGTGAAAAACAACCGATTTCTCAAACATCCAAAAACACATGCCATGCATTTTTTTTTTTGTTTTTTGGCGACGGTGAAGTATTTTTATCCTAGTATCTTATTTTGGCGAGGAAAGTACAGGTCGTTGTTTTATTGTCTGTAAAATGCTCCAATAATTAAATAGATAAGCACACGCGCACCTTAATGATCGTTGGTATATTCCACTTTGCAGCCTGTGGCGCGGTTTCTAGGTCCATTAGTAAAAAAGTGCAGTGGCTGTCTTCAATCGTATACACCAACTCCCCTGTAAAACAAATCTCATTAGACTTATTGTTTCCAAAATAAACTGCCTAAATGAATCTTCGATTCAATTTAAGACGTTTTGAGTACTCACTTTCCACATAGGCCGTCTTCGCCATGACGAGCGTCCCGCCCGCAAACATAACACCAAATGCCGCGGCTACATTTTCAACGGTGTTGCCAACATACACACACACCTTGGTCCCCGGTTTAACACCGTGTTGATAAAAGCCTACACCGTATTTACGTATTTTTTTTAACAACTGCGAGGCGGTCAAACTTTGGTAGGTGTCAACCTAAAGAAAAAGTAAGGAACGGAAAGGGTGTCTTATAGACGAACGCAAAACATGTTGTTAAAGAAGCTGCTAGAAAATCCGTTCATATATGTTGAGTGGCACATTGCTACGCCTTAAAATAGTAAGGGGAAAACCCGATAACAAAAAAAAACATTTTTGTTCCGGAATATTGAAGCCTGAACAAGGCAAGCTGTAAAATTGTTATTCAGGTTGAGTCGATATATTTGTCTTATATACGCAGCAGCGATGTTAGATACAGTGCTGAACGTTTAAACGGAATGAAGGTTGATCCTATTACAGCTTCTTATTGCCTTTCCTTATACGCGTCAGGCTACTTCTCTAGTTTAAGACTAAACTTCATTGAGCAAAAGAAGCGACGAATTTCGCCCGGGGTCGTTCACTGTCCGCGTGGCATCACTAGCGTGGCTGTTGCGCAGCGCGCAAAGCGAACCCGCGGTCGGGTGAAGTTCGTAGGTTCTTCGCCGCCAATTCGCTCCATGGAGTTCAGCCCTCAGTTTATCAACTCGACTGCAATAACAGAAGACCGCTAAATGCCACTGGGCGTTCAATAAATCAATGAGGTGTTAGGCGCGGACGCAAGCACTACATACGTTTTAGAAATAACAGACATGTTATCTGCACTGTCACGTAGACACAAGCTAAAATGGCTGATCTTATTATTGTGAAGTTTACGCCTACGTAACACGGGAGCTAGATGTTGCCATTATGTGAATAGCTCACTGTTCGCACACTTTCCAGGCGAATTTTGGAGATTTGCATGATCATCACATAAAGCAGGGGACTCGCATACTCACAATGATCACCTTGTGTAATAGTTTCTTCAAGCGTCCTTCTATGAGTTCAGAAACACATTTGTTCCCAACGTCAAAGTCCGGAAGTGGCGATTGTATCACTCCGTTCGTAATGCGAGCCGCCATGCTTACCGAAGTTCCGGAGGTTTTTCTAAAGATGTAAATGGGGAGGCAAAACGATGGTAATAGGTTGAAAAGTACTTCATCTGTGGTTCAATCTAGGCAAAAGCAATGAACAGACAGGATCTATCGTTGGCATTCCGGTGTTCAGAAATAACCTTACCGCCAAGTCTGTAAAGGCCGTTTCACGGATAAAGCGCAGCGGTAAAGTACATTCAAAGATGCATCAGTGCTACTCTGAGTGCTGAGTTACCGCTGAGTAATTAGCTCTGCGTAGTTCATTTACGTTTAAAAGGGCAGAGTCGCCTACAGCTGAGCGCTAATACACAACTGCTATGGAGCAAAGTCAGTTCTTTATCTATAACGCTGTTTTAGCGCTGTGCTGTAGATGTGAATACGCCCTAACATGTAATACACACAACTACATTTTAGGATTTCTAAAGGTATGAGTACTCATGCCCTCAAAAGATACGATACAATATAAATTTCAACTTAAACACTGCATTTTTTTATGAAGGGAATTTTTTTACCGACCTTTAGAGGAAAAAAAAGCTCCAAGAGATGGACTCCTTTGTTGAACCACGCCCCTTCGTAGCAAGGTGGAAACACCGTTAACTGGAGTGCCACTACACCATACGTGCCCACAAAAAGCGGAGCATACTCATATGATGCGCACATATGTGCAGTACACAGATATTCGAGCTACGCGCATGTCCCGCGTTATATCGTTTCTCAAAAACAGTTGTGGAGCTACGCACATATCCCACGGTATATCGTTTGTCAAAAACAGTTGTGGAGAGGCTTCTGAAATCAAACAGCGCAGCGACGCTTAAACTCTACGTAAACCAGACGTACACAGTGCGCCAGGTGGATTTTTTTATATATGTTTACGATTTAGAATCCATTTCCGTCGTATACTCCGTTTCATTAAATGCGGAGCGCGAGTCGTCTGCTTCTTGCTCAGGAGTTGCAGTGACGTCAGAACGACGCCGACCTCTTATTGGCTTTGATTAAAAGGATAGTGTGTAGACCTCAATGCTAGATGTCTTGAGGTCTACCCACTATTTCTTCCAATCAACCCATAAGAGCTCAGGGTATTGACATGATCGGACCTCCTGTGTAACAAGCCGACGAACTTGCGCTCTGCATAGATCCGATCGCAGACGACGCCACGGCCGGAGGGAGCCAATCAACCAGCGACAAAAATGTATCCTCACGGTGTTCGTGATTTTTGCGCGTTTGTCATCATCTGCAAAATCAAATACACGCAGACACAGACGCAAGATCACGAAGCGTTTACTGTGCTTGAACACCTAAATACCGGAGTTCTGCCGACGGAGTTAGGGCCTTGGAAACAGGTGTTCACAGCCATCGTTAGGACACCAACTCGGGCTAGTTGGTTTTCCATCTTACAACTGAACATCGCCTAAACGTCTCACAAAACCGGCACTCACTCGATTAGAGACAAAACCATACAGACAGCAATGAACTCACAACGCTTTGCATTTTGTCTTCGTTTTCTTCTAGACATTCTTAAAACAAAATCTCTAAATTTCTTTTCCCTCGTTTTCGCCTCCACCTAATAAACCCAATTTCCCAAATAGTTCGCGATTATCTTCTTCAGGTAAGGTAAGCTAATTCTTTTGCAGATTAGGTGAGAAATGGGCTGCTAACGCGTCCATCGTCAAGCCTTTCTATATTCTCGCTTCAACGATGAGCAACGTTGCATCTAATTGCAAAGGTTGCATGAATCCGTTGGAGCCTACCTACAGGCTTCCAGGCAAGAAATCCATCAGAACCCTGGATTTACGATTATTTTTATTGAGCGATCACCTATGCTGTTCATATAAGCCACGTGGAAAAAAGCTGCTACTTCACTTCAACTCTGTTCACTCCAAGCTGGTCAGAGAGGCATCGCGAATATATGCCTTAAAATCTCACTAAACAAATCATGCTAGCACTTGATCAAAACAAGCTTCGATGCGCAAACCTCTCGCCTAACAGCAGCAGGGTACCCAAGTTTCTTTTTCAGGTCGATTTCACAAAACCTCCTCAGAGATGTGAAAAGATGGGAGGACAACTTCTGCCATTGACTAAAAAAAATAACGAAAAACGCAAACGTTGAGGCGGTATCGCACAAGCTCCCCAGCTCGTGCAACAAAGTGAACGCTTTTTAAAACACATCAGCAAGCTGCATTAAGGAGCACAAAACCAGTTTTGTCCAGTGCATAGAAAAGGTCATGTACTCCCTTCCTCTCTGCTGTGGAAAGCGCTATATCGGCCAGACTGGACGGTGCCTCAACGATAGACGTCGCGAACACCACAATACCATTACTAGAGCCAACTCAGGGCATCTAAGTTGCACTGCAGGGATTGCGGTTGTGTGGCCCAACTATGTAGTTGCTCCGTGCTAGACGGAAACAACAATCAACTATCTAGAGAAATAATGGAAGCGAAGCATATTGTCAGGCTTGACAATGGATGCGTAAGCAAACCATCTCTCACCTTATCTCCAAAAAAATTTTTGATTGCCTCAACTTAAGATAAAGAATATATTTATTTTTGTTTTATTTTTGATGGGGCCCAAACTTTTCCCCCTCAAACACGCAGTAGATAGTGTGTCCTTTTTGTGCTGCTTTAGAGTAACGCAAAAGTAATCGAGTAAAGTAACGAAGTAATTAATCCATTACTTGTTACGGGGAGTAATTTGTAACGGTAATCCATTAGTTTTTAGGCCAAGTAATTGTAACTGTAATTAATTACTTTTTTAAAGTAACGGGCACAAGTCTGGCCGACAGGCGCCAGGGTTCGTGACGAATATGCACTCTAGACTTTGTCGGAAGTCCCAAATCGCATCGTACAGCGAAGTTACACAAATATTGGAGCTGACAGGCGTTGGGAAATCGACAAAAAGTTGATGCACTAACGGCGGGAAACGCTTTCTGATGACAAATAGCTCCAAATTTGGTGTCAAAGGGGCGATCAGAGGCAAAATCATGCTTTGCGAGAGGAGCGGCGAGAAAACACGTACTCCAGTATACGACCGGAGGGACGCGGTTTGCTTTTGCTGCTGTTGCGCGTTTTGCGGAGTGACCGTGCTGCCTTGTTCGAATTCATAGACAGGGCTGCAGTCGACCCAAAAAGCTCGGGAGCTCAACCCGCTTTTTCCGTGGACTCCGGACAGCTCGGGTACCGCGGCAGGAACGAAAACCCGTCTGGGGACCGAACGTTGTTAACGTTTGAGTTCCAGTCCCGTTCGGCCTTCCTCTGCCGGACTGCCTCAGCGCGAAGGACCTCCGCGAAGCCCAGCAGCCACCACACCGAACAGAGGTTTTATTCCACGACGCGAAACGGTATTTTTCATCGTGTAGCAGACGTTGGCCTCAATAGTCTCGTAGCAGATGAAAATGTCTTTCTTCGACTCCTTTGCCTCAGACACCGCACGGAGTGGTGTAAAAGTGGATGCGATGTCGCATGACCTATATCGCTGGCGTTTGGTTAGCCCCGGCAACCCGTAGCTTTGGCTATATACGCTTGCCGCTAAGCTGAAACGAAGTCTGGCTTGATTTCGCTGAAGAAGACCGAGACACAAGAAATTGAGCTACCATGCACATTACGCGTGTTGTAGTGTTGGCCCCGCACATAATCAGCGCCGAAACCTGTCCCACACAGATACCATGCAAAACCCACACTGTATGCGTATGATAGGTATACCCATTGTGAGTCCCAAAGTTTCCGTCGGCATTATAGAGCTTGTACACAATCCATGGGTTCACCACAGAAAAGCCCATTGCGCGTGTTTGGTTGACCACGACTCTTTTCCTTCAGTCGTGTCCCACACGTTATTATTTTACTGGAAAATGGAACGGTGTGATGGAGGGTTTCCACAGTTCTTGGTTCCGCTTAGTTAATTGAACAGAATAGCAGAGTAACCTTAATTTCCTGAAAATAAAAATTAAACTTTGGCAGTTTTTCAGTCCACATTAAGTTGTCCTAAAGCTCAGAATTGATAGGGCATTCACTTTTTATATATCGAATTTGGTGCGATGTAATTCATTACCAGCGGCGTGTCGATTGATAACACTCGTCACAAGTGTGGGCAAAGAGAAGCGTCCCCGCCCCCTGGTTCCCCCAAAAAGGTATTTTTAGCGTTCGTGCGGTCGACACAGTTCTGCTTGTACACCAAAAAGTACCGCCGCATATTGTATTCCAATTGGTTTTCTCTATTCTTAAAACGTTGATTTGGAATCCCTCGGCAAATTTGTTTTAGTGCTGTAATTACTTTTAGATTTAAAGTAAAGCAGTTCTCTTAAACAGACGGGCACTGTTTTTTATTTTTTTACTTTTTAACCGAAACAATGTACTATTTATTGCCTAGCGTTCTCCGCTGGAATGTAGGGCTAGCAGTCCGGACCACATGTGAAAGTCGTATACCGTTATTCAGTTTAATTTTTTTTTTGTTTTTACATTTTCAGGCGGAAGAATGAGGCTCACTCCCTGTAGCCGAGATTCACCTCTATATATGCGAGGGCCCCGTCGGCCACCATTTTCCCATTGAGATTTTCTAAAAATAGTGCATAACTTTTGGCTTGGATAACGGCAAATCCTAAAACTTTGACATCTTGTCCGGATCGCTGGCGTTACCTTTGGGTGTAAACTGAGGTTTGGCAATGCATAACTTATTTTTTATGCAAAAAAGAAAAAGAAAACATAGTAAATGTTTTCTTTGCTGTTTGAGATGTCAGCATCGGAAAACAGTCTAATATCCTAGTTACACGGGCTGTTTTAACTGTAGTTAAGCATAACCGCGGTTAGCTTAACCGCAGTTACGCGCAGTTGGACGGCAGAGCTAACTGTGGTTGCCCGCTGATCATAGCCTAAACTGAGCTTGGAAACCTCAGTTAGGGCTCAGAACCAATGCCTCATCGGAACTGACAAGTTGGCAGCACCCGAAGGAGCAGGCCGTATCGCAAAAACGGAGTGCCCGAAATCGTCGGAACAGGGCA